AACCGGGGAATTCAGTGTCGAGGAACGTGGCATTTCTGCCAAGTATAATCTTCTGTGTTGTAGTGTCGTAGAAGCGAAAGGCTTTTGAAGCCAGGTCGTAGCCGGTGAAAAGAACGCGAACCGCCTTCGGGTCGAGTTTGGAGCGAAGTTCGGGCGCGACCGTAAGCCAAGCTGTACAGCCGAACGGGTGAAGCGCCGAGGCAGTGGTGTGGTCACCCTGCCAGACGGAGTTTGGTGTTGCCTTGTCCAGGGCCGCGTGTTGACACAGGTTCTTGCAGTAAACGAAATAAGCTGCAGCCTCCTCCCAGAATGTCTTGGGTAGGTGGGCGTCGACAAGGAGGGCAAGGACGCCTTCGACAATGGAACGATTGACCCGCTCTGCACGACCGTTCTGTTGAGGCGTGCGTGGGATAGAGTATTGTCGACGGTGCCTCGTGCCTTGCAGAACTCTGTGAACGCTCTCGAACAGTATTCGCCACCGTTGTCGGTTCGGAGGACCTTCAGCGTCGCACCCGTCTCGAGTTCAACCTCGGCTAGCCAAGTTTTGAATATGCCGAAGACTTCGCTTTTGTGTCCGATTGCGTAGGCCCAGAGTTTGCGCGAGTAATCGTCAAGGAATGTGACCAGGTAACGTTTGCCAGTCAAGGACCGCTCGGGAAGGAAAGCACATCGCTGTGTACAAGGCCGAGTCTCTCTGAGGAGTGCGAATCCGAATCGGGAAAGGGAAGACGATGGCCCTTTGCGCTGAGGCAAGCATTGCAGACAAACTTCTCTACCTCTTCGTCACTATATCCGGCCCTGAGACCCTCCAGCAAACCAGCGGCAACCATCTTCTGTATGGAGGACGGTGCGAGATGGCCGAGGCAGCGATGGAGAGTCAGCAGGGGCACGGACGACTGTGAGCGAGAAAGGAGAGCAAGGTGCTGACATTTGGAATGATCAGCGTCCAGCAAGTAGAGCCCTTCGTCGAGTTGTGCGCCTTCAGCGATGTCGTTGCCGTCCTTGTCAATGTGGATGCCGTGTTTTGTGAAGGCGACACGGACATCGTCGGTGTCGCAAAGTCGAGAGACCGAGAGAAGATTGACAAACAGGCCCGGAGTGTGCAGCACGCCGGTAAGCGTGATCGGATGACCCGAGGCGGCAATGAAGGCGATGTTTCCCGTTCCGATGGCGTTGATGCCCCCTGCAATACCACCAATCTTCGTAGGAGCGATATGGCGATAGGTCGTGAACAGCGACTTGTCCGAGACCATGTGCGAAGTGGCGCCCGAGTCGACGACAAAAGAGTGGTTGCGAAGCTGGCGACGACGAGCGAGAAGACCGGTGGCGAGACATCCGACATGGTGTTGCGAGTCGACGGTCGAGTCAGCGGTGTCGGGCTTTTTGCCGTCCTCGAGCGCCTTCTTGCAGTCGAGAGACCAGTGATCCTTCTTCTTGCAGGAGCGACAGGGTCCTGGCGGCGGGTGTTGCGCCCTCGTAGGGCACTCCGCGACTCGGTGCGAAGGGCTGCGACAGGCGAGACACTTGGACGAGTAGAACGTGACGACGACGAGGCAAGAAGGGCCGATTGAGTGCTGGGGATGTTCGTTGACCGAAGTTGGACTCGCATACGGTCGGCAAGCGAATCAATGTCGGGGAGAGTTCGTTGCGTGCGCTGTTCATCGGTGAACGACGCCTTGAAGCTCTCGAGGGACGGGTGGGCGATTGCAAGGAGGAGTGTGGCGAGAACATCATTGATAGTTGTCTTTGTGTCGATGATCTCTTGCGCAACGGCTTTGAACTCCATGATCCACCCGTCGAATTCGGCAACCGTGCCGGGCATGGGACGGAAACCCCAGAGTCGTGAGAAGAGCTCGAGCGTGCGGGTGGCGTCGTCAGGGGCGTACCGCGATTTCAGCGTCGAGTAGATTGTCGGCGCTGTCAGGTCGGCGGTAGGGATTTTGTCGAGGACTGCCGATGTCAGGAGCACAGCCTGCACTGCCATCAATACTCGAAGGAAGTCTCCCAAGTTTGCGGCCGGAGTCGACATCAGCTACCGGTTTGTTCGTTGCAAGCATTGTCGGCGCGATGGTGTAGTCGTGAGGGCGCGCGGGGCGCACTCAGTGGTCGAGGGTTCGATCCGCCCGGAGCGTGATCTGCCTTTTGGTTTCTTTTCCTTTTTGTTATCCGAGGCCCGGCTTCGGGGTTTTTACCGGTGCCTTGCAGGCAATCCTTTTTACCCCTGAAGCGACCTCGTGGTGTAGTTATTTGATTCAGTCTTTCCTTCGCTGGGAGCACTTCCCTCCCTTTGCTTTTGCCACCCTTCCCCTAGAGCTTGGTCCACTCATTATCATGACTCGTACCCTCCCTCTTTTTACCCATTTCGCTGGCAATTAAGTCCGTTACACTTGATTTGCTGCGAAGCCTTCCGACCGAATCCACTCCTCGGTTGCTCTCGGTCGACTGCCGCCGCCCAGCCGACTCGACCTTCCCACCGGCCTGGTCAGCTATTTCTTGGATCGTTTGCCCTTCCTCTTTTGTCCGACCTCGTTGGCTAGTCCGGTACACTGGACTTGCTGCGAGCCTTGCAGCCGCGTATCCTCCGTTGCCTCTCGGTCGACTTCCGCCGCCCAGCCGACTCGACCTTCCCACCGGCCTGGTCAGCTATTTCTTGGATCGTTTGCCCTCCCTCTTCTGTCCGACCTCGTTGGCTACCATAGTTCGGTACACTGGACTTGCTGCGAGCCTTGCAGCCGCGTATCCTCCGCGGTTGCCTCTCGGTCGACTGCCGCCGCCTCGGTCGACACCCCTTTCGCTCCTTCGCGCTTTCGCGCGCTCTCTCGCTCTCTCCCTCGTCTCTCGCGTGTAGTCATCGTCATCCCCTCCGACGTTGCCTGTCAGCCGAGACTTCGGCCGAGTCAATCGAATTCGCAAGGACCTCACGAGCGACGGCGTCGCGAGCGGAGCGTTGCGAAGGTGTCCAGTCGTCGGGTGCGATACCGTCGAGGACGTACGAGCGGATGTCGTCCGCTAGGCACAGGCGAAGTTGGCGTGTCCAGTTCGCGAAGGTCTTCGCACCATCCAAGCGTGCGTGCTTTGGAAAGGCAGTGCGAGTGGTGCCGGACGTCGTGGCGGGTGTGGCAGTGCCGGAAGCGGCAGCGGTGAGACCCGACAGCAGCGATGTAAGTGCGGCGAGCTGTTCGGCGGGAATCGGAGGGTTGGCACCCGTCGCGAGGGGTGGTGTCGTGGTCATGCCAGCTGGTGGCTCGTGGGCTTATAACCTATGAGACGTTCACCACTACTGTCAGGAGAGGTTGAGAGTCGAACAGAAGTGATGAGAAGGAAGCTAAGAAACAGAAAGGGGGGGGCCACGCTGGGATAGGCCCAGGCGCGTGACAATGTACATCCCTAAGTCAGCCGCGGGTGAAATCGCCGGCGCGCCTAAGTCCCCACCGCAAGGGGGCGGGCTAGCGGGCGCGCGCATGAATCCGCCGGCGCTGGCGCGCTGAGGCAGTCGCGCGCGTCTAAGTCCCCACCGCCGGGGGCGGGCTAGCAAGTGCGCGCAACGACCGAGGCGCCCCTGTCGAGCTGAGAGTGGACTCTTCACAACACGCGCACTCGCACCGCGAGCCTCTTTAGTCTTCCCCCTAACGCTCCAAACTACTTCCTAACACTCGTACTGTGTCTCGTGTACTCACTGGTTGCCGATCCAGTCCCCTCTCGAGACACACGATTTAACAGGTTATGAGCCCGAGCTAAAGCTGCTACAACGATGCCTTCACCACCATCATGATCACGTTTGTCATCATCATCGCTCTGTACCACACCGTTGCAACCGCCCTCGCCCATGTGACCGGCCGTTACCGCACCATGACGCAACTTGACACGTCGCACCTGGACCCGACTGTGAGCGTGACAGTCCGGCCCAGCGTGAACGTCGTCGCACTCCTAGGTCGTCTACCATCGAACCGTGAGCTCCACCTTCCAAATGACACCCTTGTACTCGACTCGGGCGCCTCCCACCACATGGTCAAGGACGCGTCTCTCTTCGACGCCTGGCACACACGGTCACACGTCGCCGTCGATGGCGCTGGTGGGTCACTCATGGCACAAGGCACCGGCTCGATCACGATACGAACGTCGAAACAACGAACGATCAAGCTCTGCAACGTCTACTACGTCCCCGACCTTCCAGCCAACCTGATCTCGGTCATGCAGCTGCGACGCGAGCGCGTTTACACCCACTTTGGCAAGACCATCGAGCTCCGGTCACAAGGTCAACTCATAGGTGTGGCATCACTCATTGCGAATCAACTGTCGACACTGGACGCCACCCCAATCCGGAGCACGGTGTCACCGGTCGCAGCAGCCGCCGTCCCTCTCCTGACTCTGCACCAACGATTCGGCCACCTATCCCTCCCCAACCTGCAAAGGGCAGCATCGTCGGGTCAACTCCAAGGTCAAACATGGACGTACTCGGTGGCCGAATGCAAGGCCTTCTCCTGCGACACCTGCAAAGCCGCCAAAGCAACAAGGACACCTTTCCCAACGTCGGACTCTCGCGCTTCGCAACCACTCGAACTGGTCCACTCCGACATCCTCACTCTGTCAGGATGACAGCGTGTACTCGAAGGAAGCCCCCAAGGCTATGTGCGGGTAGAGTTGACTTGACCAGAGGCTTGCCTCGTTTCACAGCATCGTCGGTGCGATGGCGTAGTCGTGAGGCGCGCAGGCGCGCACTCGGTGGTCGCGGGTTCGAGGCGCCCAGACCGCAGTCTTCTTTCGGTTTGTTTTATCTTTTGTTAGCCGAGGCGCGGCTTCAGGGTTTTTACCGGTGCTCCCGCGAGCAATCCTTTTTACCCCTGAGGCGACCTCTTGGAGTGGTTGATTTGGCTAAGTCCCCTCTGGGCCTGGCACAGTCCCTTCCCTTTAGTTTTACCACCTTTTCCCGGGAGCTTGGTCCGCTCTTCTCTTTTGTTGCCCCTCTCTTCTTGTCGATCGTTTGGGAATTAAGTCTGTTACACTTGATTTCCTGCGAGCCTTTCGACCGACTCCCCTCCTCGGTTGCTCCCTTGTTGACAGGCAACGTCGGAGGGGATGACGATGACTACACGCGAGAGACGAGGGAGAGAGCGAGAGAGCGCGCGAAAGCGCGAAGGAGCGAAAGGGGTGTCGACCGAGGCGGCGGCAGTCGACCGAGAGGCAACCGCGGAGGATACGCGGCTGCAAGGCTCGCAGCAAGTCCAGTGTACCGAACTATGGTAGCCAACGAGGTCGGACAGAAGAGGGAGGGCAAACGATCCAAGAAATAGCTGACCAGGCCGGTGGGAAGGTCGAGTCGGCTGGGCGGCGGAAGTCGACCGAGAGGCAACCGCGGAGGATACGCGGCTGCAAGGCTCGCAGCAAGTCCAGTGTACCGGACTATGGTGGCCAACGAGGTCGGACAAAAGAGGAAGGGCAAACGATCCAAGAAATAGCTGACCAGGCCGATGGGAAGGTCGAGTCGGCTGGGCGGCGGCAGTCGACCGAGAGCAACCGAGGAGTGGATTCGGTCGGAAGGCTTCGCAGCAAATCAAGTGTAACGGACTTAATTGCCAGCGAAATGGGTAAAAAGAGGGAGGGTACGAGTCATGATAATGAGTGGACCAAGCTCTAGGGGAAGGGTGGCAAAAGCAAAGGGGGGGAAGTGCTCCCAGCGAAGGAAAGACTGAATCAAATAACTACACCACGAGGTCGCTTCAGGGGTAAAAAGGATTGCCTGCAAGGCACCGGTAAAAACCCCGAAGCCGGGCCTCGGATAACAAAAAGGAAAAGAAAAAGGCAGATCACGCTCCGGGCGGATCGAACCCTCGACCACTGAGTGCGCGCCCGCGCGCCCTCACGACTACACCATCGCGCCGACAATGCTTGCAACGAACAAACCGGTAGCTGATGTCGACTCCGGCCGCAAACTTGGGAGACTTCCTTCGAGTATTGATGGCAGTGCAGGCTGTGCTCCTGACACTTGTCGACTGCCGCCGCAACAGCCGACACTTCCTGAAATCCCCCCCCCCCGTACCAACGCGTGTAGACGACGTCATCCCCTCCGACGTCGCTTGTCACACTCTGCCCGAACCCGCCACCGATGGGGAACGATACATTGTCACCTTCATCGACGATTTCTCCCGGAAGACGTGGGTCAGCGCGCTGAGGAACAAGAGTCAGGTCTTCGACACCTTCCAGCATTGGCACGCCATGATCGAGCGCTCGACGGGCCTCAAGCTCCGTGTCAGGATCACCCTGCACTGCCATCAATACTCGAAGGATTTTTTTTTTTTAGAAAACGTTCATCATATTGCCCCCAATTCCTGTTCCCCCTGTTTCGGCCTACGGAAAAACTAGATGGAAGACTACGATGATAACACAAACCGCCCGCAAAAGTGCGAGAAACGAGCCAAGTCCACCAATCCGAGATTCGGATTCAAATGCCCTAGCCAAGCGGTTGCTCCCCCCCAGGAGACGAATGAGAGAGAGAAAGAGAGATGAAGAAAGAGAAAGAAAAGAAATGTACTAACGACAGAAGGCCCACCCCACAGCCACTTCCCACTCGGTCGAGACGAAGACAAGAGCACGACTGCGCAACCACCACGACCCTCGACGCTCCAAGTCTCTGCTCAGTCACAACAAGACGCGGTGAAGGTCCCTCAAAACCTCCCCCTCGGCAGTCCCTGGCCCCTCAAAGCCGACTTTCTGCCTGTGTCCGCTGATCCCTCCCTTGACTCAGAACCCCGAAGCCGAAGAGCGCGAGCCACACCGAGTCGACGCCAAATCGCGAGATGGTCCATGATCCGCAACGGTGAACCTGTAACAAAAGAAAGAGGAAAGCGAGCTATTTAGTGTACAGTAGGAGAAAATGATGTCACGAGAATTTGGTGTGTGTGTGTGGTGGTGGGGGGAAAGTCGAACCCAGCCTCTACTGCCCTCTCCTCCCCCAAGCTCCTCCCGCCCTCAGCTTCAACCTCTCCTCCAAGATTATCCTCCTCCTCCCAACACCCTCCATCCTCGTCCCCCACTTCTGCATCCCCCACCTCCCGCTGCTGATCATCTCCAAGACCAGCCCGGTGAATATTTCGATCGTCCTCCCCGCTCCTTCTTGATCGTGCAGACTGGCCTTGAGCTTCGGAAGTCCGAACATGCGTTGAACGGCCGTGTAATGCGTGTTGTCGATCGTGTCGAGCCCCAGTGCGTCGCAGAGCACGCCCCTTGCCGCGATCCAAACGTTCCTAGAGTCAACGCAGTCGAAGAAGTAGTGCTCCCGATCGTCCTTGGGCGCTCCACAGACGAGGCACGCGGGCGAGTCGTCGTGCTTTTGATGAAACTGCAGACTCCGAGTCGGGGTGAAGTTCCTGACGAGCTTGAACCACACCTCGCGTTCCCTCGCCGTCAATGCCTTCGAGTTGACCCCCTTCCAGAATCCCTTGAGATCGTCGGGCTGCAGCGAGTCCCTGAAACCGATCGTGTCGGTGAAGGCCTTTGCATTCAAGACTCGGCGGACGCGACGGATGGTGTATGGCCGATCCATGCTGAGCAAGTTGTATTGTGTTGATTGGTCTGGGAGAGCCGGTCTCGGAAGGCGCTGCGGCGGGTCGATCGGATGGGGCAGGATCGACTCGAGCGGCGTGGTGGGGCGGACTCGGGGAGGCCCGTTGATTCGTACTGCCGCCACCGGTTGAGCTATTGGTGTGAACCTCAATCGATTGATCGCATGTCGGTACCATGCCACGATGTGCTCTCGTTGTGGGCGGCCCCGTTGATCGTATTCGCTGTTGCTGACGACCACATCCGTCGGCGGCGTCCAGAGATGAAAGCCCCCGCCCGGGTACAGCTCGCGTCGAAACAGGTCCGCTACCTTGGCGTAAATGGCAAACGCAGCATAGTCGGCGTCGTAGGGTGGTCGCGACACAGCTGGTGCTCCCGGTAGGTAGTGAAGGGTGTGCAACTTGATCGGAAGAGCGAGAAGGTTCGCGAGCGTCAACGTCCTCGGCTTGACTTGCGCATTGTGCGTCGATGGTACCTTCAGCACGGCCTGCCATCTTGGGTGTAGATCGGTTCGGATCGGAGTGTAGTCGCAAGGCCACGCATTGGTTGCCAAGTCAAAGTCGGGGGCGGGATGGGCTCGTACAATCGCCGCGCGCGCAAGTCCCTGCCAGATCGCATCCGAACCGCCAAGAAGCACGTCCCAGACGCGTGCCGCAACCGAGTCGACGACGTCCTGCATCCGCATGACCCCAAGACCCCCCTTGAACCTCGGTGTGAAGACGACGTCCTTGCCATAGCACGACCTCCTCTTGCCGCCGCGGACAAAGTCGGCGAGAATGCGATCAAGCTCCTTGACGACCTCGAGCGGTGGGATGTCGGCGGAGAGGATGTGCAGAATCTTGGGAATGGCGTATCGGTTGACGTAGAACGCTCGGGTGTGGTGTGTGAGCCCTCGGTCCCGTGCCGAATCGAGCACCGCTTCGAGCCGTGCGACGAGATTCACGTTGGCGAGTTCGGTGTTGCCGGTGGGGTCGAAAGATAGGCCGATCCACTCGAGCGACTCGCCCTCGGCCTTGACGACGAGCGGACGATCGCCAGCCTCCCAGCGACACCCGATGGGTAGTACGACGGTCTTGTCGGTGTTGAGCCGGCCATTGGTTGCGAGCCTCCAGTCGAGCGCCAGGTCGTCGAGCAAGTTGAGTGACTCCGAGCCCGCGACAGCGACGACGACGTCATCGGCAAACGCAAGGGATGTAATGGCGCGGCTCTGTGGGTAGGGGTGAATGGTAGGAAGCGAGAGGTTCAGCGCGATGCCTCGACGGTGCAGAGCATCCAGGAACGGCTGGAACACGACATCCCAGACCGACGACGACGCCGGGTCCCCTTGGCCGAGCCCACACGTCAGCCGCACCGGCGGAGTCAAGAAGCCGTTGATGATATATCGCGCCGTGGTTGAGTCACCCGAGTAGAGCATCCTCAGAACGCGTTGGAAGGCGGCAGGAGCGCCGAGAGCGTCGAAGATGGCGAAGATCCATTCGTGCTCGACGAGGTCGTAAGCCGACGATTGGTCAAGAGACAAGAGCGCCGCGTCAGGGAACTCGGTGCCGCGCGCGCCCAGCTCTTCGATCAAGAGTCGCAGGTGGAATGACGCGTCCGCCGATCGGCGGCCCTTGACGAAGCCGTGCTGTTGCGGTGGGAGCAGGTCCGGCAGCACGTGGTTGAGTCGCGCAACGTAGACCTTGGTGAAGAGCTTGTAGTCGCACTCGCGCAAGGTGATGGGCCGGTACGACGAGAGCTCGGCGCGATCGGCCCCGATCTTGTGGTGCTTGAAGAGCAGGCGAGCGAGTCCTTGCCCCTGCTTCGGTGAAAGCGAGCCGCGCTCGGTCATCGCGTTGAAGGCCCTGCTCAGCGCCTTGGCCCACGCCCGCGGCGCTGTGTGATAGTATTCGATCAACTCTACTACGTCAGCGATGTAGTTATAGCCAAGAGTGATGAATGCATTTCAACATACCTATTCGATCAACTCTACTACGTCAGCGATGTAGTTATAGCCAAGAGTGATGAATAGGAAGCTAACAATAAGAGACCCGCGCGCCCCAAGTCCACAGCCAGCGAGCCTGGGGCTGAGCCAATGGCCCAGGCTCGCTCCGCGCGCCTAAGTCCCAGGCTCGCTTCGCGCGCCTAAGTCCTGGGCCGGGGCGCCCGGCTCACTCCGCGCGCCTAAGTCCGCGCCCGGTTCGCTCCGCGCGCCTAAGTCCTGAGCCGAGCGGAGAGTGGATTCCTCACACCCCCCCCCACGCGAACGCGAGGTAGACTTGAGCCGTGGATGTCGCGTCCGGAGGCCTAGAGCATAGCAATGTGTACCAAAAATCTTGGGGCCTAGCGCTTTGGTGAATACGTCCGCAACCATGTCTGCTGTGCCAACGTGTGAGAGAGAGATATCACCTCGATTGACCATGTCACGGACAAAATGCTCGCGGAGGCGAATGTGCCGGGTGCCGGAGGTGCGAACGGGGTCGTGAGCGACGGCGGCCGCGGCCTCGTTGTCGGTGAAGATGTGAGCTGCAGCGATTGGGCAAACGTGGAGCTCGGAGAGGAGTTGGTTAAGGTAGATCGCTTCCTTACCCGCGTGCGACAAGGCCAGGTACTCGGCATCAGTGGTGGAATCCGCTACCCGAGTCTGACGCTTCGACGACCAAGAGACAGCGGCGCCTGCCAAGTAAAATACGTAGCCCATCGTTGAAATGGATGTGTCGACGCAGGCGCCCCAGTTCGCATCAGAATAACCAACCACACCCGTGACTTTTGCTGGGCCGCGGGCATAGAGAAGCTCATCGCGGTACGTGGCGCGAAGGTAGCGAAGGACGTGTTTGACGGCAATCCAATGGCGGCGGCCGGGGTTGTTGGCGAACCGGGACAGGTACGAGACGGCGAAGGCAATGTCGGGTCGAGTGCCAAGGGAGATGTAGAGGAGGGAGCCGATGGCCTGTAGGTACCACGAACGAATGCGCTCCGTTCCCTGACCCGGAATTGCCGTGAGCGAGAGGCCGGGCGTCATCGGCACCGTAGTGCCGCGTGTCGTGGTGTCGAAGTGGAAACGGGCCAGCACGTCCATGATGTAGCGCTCCTGGGATAGAGCAATGGAACCGTCGTCCAGGCGGCGTATTTGGATTCCGAGGATGTACTCCGCGGGGCCGAGTCGTTTGACGCCGTACCGCTGTTCAAGGCCGGAGATGACACGTTCGATCTCGTCGAGGGCTGGACTGACAATGAGGAGGTCGTCGACATACAAGGCGATATAGTGAGGCCGCTGCTGATCGTCAATGCGAGAGTAAATGCAGTGATCAGTGCCTGTTGCCTTGTACCCCAGATTCCTGAGTGATGTGTCAATGTGACGATTCCAGATGCGACCGGCCTGCTTGAGACCGTAGATTGAGCGTCGCAGCCGGAGAACCTTATCGCTCGGGAAGTCGAAACCGCGTGGTGTCGTCATCCAGATATCATGATCGAGCTCGCCGTGGAGGTAAGCCTTGTCGATGTCGGCCTGATGAACGTGGTAGCCATTGGCAGCGGCAAGAGCCAGGAGGCAGCGAATGGAGGAGAAACGGGCGACGGGTGCGAAGGTTTCTGAGAAGTCGATGCCGTCGCGCTGTCGGTTACCCTGCGCTACAAGACGTGCCTTCCGCCCCGTGACTTCACCGCTTGCGTTGCGCTTGGTCTTCCAGACGAATTTGGAGGTGACGATGGTGGCGCCCGGCGGTACAGATGAGCGAGGCTCGATGGTGAACACCTTGAAGTCGTCGCGCATGGCGGTGAACTCGGCGGCGGCGGCCTCAGCCCAGATGTTGTGCTCGTCGCTGGACATTGCTTCGCGCCAGGTCTGGGGGTCGCTAGTGATCGATTTGACGGGCTCGATGGCGTCGAGGGTGGGGTCGTCGTCGTCTGTGGCGATGAAGGCGCGGTGGTGTTGGGTGAGGAAATCGATTTCATCCGGCGATTCATCGCGCGAGTGACGCCCAATGATGTCGAGTTCGTCGGGCGACTCCTCAGCCGATGCGGGCTCACGGTACGTGCTGAAGTCTGGGCGGTGCACGTCCGGTGGGCCAAGGCGAGTCGGGGTCTGTGAGCCGATGAGGTCCAGAGGGTCGGCGGAGTAGTCAGAGTCGGTCGGTGAGACCGAGGGTGACGATGACGCTGCCAACGACGGTGACAGCGCAGGCGACGGTGACAAAGGGTTTGTGGGCGACGGTGACGAGGACGGCTCAGGAGACGGTGACGAGGACGATTCGGTATCTGTGGAATTAAGTAAGGTTCCGCCAGTGTACCCTGGGGCCACGTCAACGGCGCTCATGGCAGAATCATCAAGGGAGGATGAGACGTCCATGTGCGCCGACCTTACTAGTGGGGTCCTCGTCTTGACGGCAGGGGCGGGCGTGTCGGCGGGAACGACGAACTGACGGTCGGTGTCGTCTGCATCGACGGGCGTGGTGACTGGCAGGCCGGGGAAGTCGTCGTCGAGGAAGGTGGCATTGCGACCAAGTACAATCTTGTTGATGGAATGGTCAAAGAAACGGAAAGCTTTGGAGGCGAGGTCGTAACCTGTGAAGATCACGCGCGCGGCCTTGGGGTCGAGCTTGCTGCGAAGGTCCGGGGCGACCGTGAGCCAGGCTGTGCAGCCGAACGGGTGGAGGGCGGTGGCGGTGGTGCGTTGGCCGTTCCAAACGGATTCTGGAGTCTGTTTGGCCAAAGCTGAGTGTGAGCACCTGTTTTTGCAATAAACGAAATACGCAGCCGCTTCATCCCAAAAGGTGGCCGGCAGACGGGCGTCCGCAAGGAGAGCGAGGACGCCCTCGACGATGGAGAGGTTGACACGTTCGGCGCGACCGTTTTGTTGAGGCGTGTAAGGGATAGAGTATTGACGACGAATGCCCTTGGATTTGCAGAACTCCGTGAATGCGTTTGATCGGTACTCCCCGCCATTGTCGGTTCGAAGGATCCTCAACCGCGCGTTCGTCTCTAACTCCACTTCGGCGAGCCAAGTCTGGAAGGTCGGGAAAACATCGCTTTTGTGATCGATCGCATATGCCCAGAGTTTGCGAGAGTGGTCGTCTAGAAACGTGACAAGGTAGCGCTTCCCGGTCAAGGACGGAGTGGGGAACGACAGGACGTCGCTGTGCACGAGGCCAAGTCTCTCGGCGGAATGCGACTCAGAGTCGGGAAAGGGAAGGCGGTGACCTTTGGAACCAAGGCAAGCATTGCAAACAAACTCCTCTACGTCTTTGTCACTGTACCCGGCCCCAAACCCGTCCAGCAAACCTGCAGCAATCATCTTCTGTATAGAGGATGGGGCAAGATGGCCGAGGCAGCGGTGTAGGGTAAGCAGGGGCACGGGAGACTCAGAGCGTGAGAGGAAGGCAAGATGCTGACACTTGGTGTGATCCGCGTCCAAAAGGTAAAGACCGTCGTTGACCCTGGTACCGTGAGCAATGGCCCGGCCGTCCTTGGCGATGTCGATGCCGTCGCTGGTGAAGGCGAGACGAACGCGGTCGGTGTCGCAGAGGCGAGAGACAGAGAGGAGGTTGACGTGTAGGCCAGGCGTGTGAAGAACACCACGGAGCGTGATCGGGTGTCCAGTCTTGGCGACGAATGCCACGTCCCCCATGCCGATAGCCGTGATGCCGCCCGCGATGCCGCCGATCTTGGTGTGTGCCGTCTGACGATAAGTCGTGAATAGAGATCGGTCGGCGACCATGTGTGTCGTGGCACCCGAATCGACTACAAAGGCGTCAGTTGGGAGTTGGCGACGAGCGAAGAGACAGGAGGCGAAATAGCCGACGTTCGGTTGCGAGGCCGCGGAGGAAGACGTGTCGTCCTGGGTGTCGTCGCTGCTACGTGCCTGTTCACCCGGTTCTTGCAGTCGAGTGCCCAGTGACCTTTCTTGTGGCATCGGCGGCAGGGGCCGGTGGGCGGGTGCTTCGCACGTGAAGTGCAGTCGCGCAGGCGGTGACCGGGAGCGCGGCAGGCGGGGCAGGGGAGCTGGTGGCAAGCATGGCCGAATGCGAGGTCGAGAGTCCTGCCGAACGAAGCTGGATGCGAATGCGGTCCGTAAGCGTCGTGAGTTCGGGAAGGTCGCGTCGGTTTCGCTGCTCGTCCGTGAACGTGAGTCGGAAGCTGTCGAGGCAAGACGGGACCATGGCGAGCACGTGGGTGGCGCACCGTCGGAGCGACGCGTCGCGATAGAAATTTACTCGCGTATGGTATGGAAGGGAGAGCAGCGCAAAAAAGGGAGCGAATCGAGAGTGCGTGTAGCGTCGTCCGGTGCAAAACGAGCCTTGAGAGCGGCAAAGATGCGCGGTGCCGACAGGTCGTCGCTGGGGATGGCGTCGAGGGTGGCCGATACGTCGGCGGAGTCGATAGAGCCAACGATGATTTCCCGGGCGGCGTCGTCACGTGCGGCAAGCTGGTCGGCGGTCCAGGTCGGGGGAACGACACCGTCGAGAACGTAACCACGAACCTGGTTCGGGAGTGCAAGACGGAGTTGACGCAACCAGTTGGTGAACGACTTGGGGCCGTCCAGACGAGCGTGCTTGGGAAACACGACCTTGGATGCGGTGGCGGCGTTCCCCGGCACGACGGTGACGGCCGGGGGTGCGGCGGCTGCGGCGGCGGCGGGTTGCGAGGCCTGCAGAGCGGCAAGCTGGGCCTGTAGAGTGGCGATTTGTTCGCCGATCGAAGATTCAGGGGAGCTGGGATCCCTGGGGGCCAAAGGCGAGGCGGGAGAGCTGTCCATGATGTGATGGTGCGATGGACGTGTGCGGCTCGAGTGGCTGGGCTCGAGCGAAAAAGCCTCAAGCGGCGGGGCTGGTAGCTCGTGGGCTTATAACCTATTCGATCAACTCTACTACGTCAGCGATGTAGTTATAGCCAAGAGTGATGAATGCATTTCAACATACCTATTCGATCAACTCTACTACGTCAGCGATGTAGTTATAGCCAAGAGTGATGAATAGGAAGCTAACAATAAGAGACCCGCGCACCCCAAGTCCACAGCCAGCGAGCCTGGGGCTGAGCCAATGGCCAGGCTCGCTCCGCGCGCCTAAGTCCCAGGTCGCTTCGCGCGCCTAAGTCCTGGGCCGGGGCGCCCGGCTCACTCCGCGCGCCTAAGTCCGCGCCCGGTTCGCTCCGCGCGCCTAAGTCCTGAGCCGAGCGGAGAGTGGATTCCTCACACAAAGGCGAGGCGGGAGAGCTGTCCATGATGTGATGGTGCGATGGACGTGTGCGGCTCGAGTGGCTGGGCTCGAGCGAAAAAGCCTCAAGCGGCGGGGCTGGTAGCTCGTGGGCTTATAACCTATTCGATCAACTCTACTACGTCAGCGATGTAGTTATAGCCAAGAGTGATGAATGCATTTCAACATACCTATTCGATCAACTCTACTACGTCAGCGATGTAGTTATAGCCAAGAGTGATGAATAGGAAGCTAACAATAAGAGACCCGCGCGCCCCAAGTCCACAGCCAGCGAGCCTGGGGCTGAGCCAATGGCCCAGGCTCGCTCCGCGCGCCTAAGTCCCAGGCTCGCTTCGCGCGCCTAAGTCCTGGGCCGGGGCGCCCGGCTCACTCGCGCGCCTAAGTCCGCGCCCGGTTCGCTCCGCGCGCCTAAGTCCTGAGCCGAGCGGAGAGTGGATTCCTCACATCTCGCACCGTCCTCCATACAGAAGATGGTTGCCGCTGGTTTGCTGGGGTCTCAGGGCCGGATATAGTGACGAAGAGGTAGAGAAGTTTGTCTGCAATGCTTGCCTCAGCGCAAAGGGCCATCGTCTTCCCTTTCCCGATTCGGATTCGCACTCCTCAGAGAGACTCGGCCTTGTACACAGCGATGTGCTTTCCTTCCCCGAGCGGTCCTTGACTGGCAAACGTTACCTGGTCACATTCCTTGACGATTACTCGCGCAAACTCTGGGCCTACGCAAATCGGACACAAAAGCGAAGTCTTCGGCATATTCAAAACTTGGCTAGCCGAGGTTGAACTCGAGACGGGTGCGACGCTGAAGGTCCTCCGAACCGACAACGGTGGCGAATACTGTTCGAGAGCGTTCACAGAGTTCTGCAAGACACGAGGCACCCGTCGACAATACTCTTATCCCCACGCCTCAACAGAACGGTCGTGCAGAGCGGGTCAATCGTTCCATTGTCGAAGGCGTCCTTGCCCTCCTTGTCGACGCCACCTACCAAGACATTCTGGGAGGAGGCTGCAGCTTATTTCGTTTACTGCAAGAACCTGTGTCAACACGCGGCCCTGGACAAGGCAACACCAAACTCCGTCTGGCAGGGTGACCACACCACTGCCTCGGCGCTTCACCCGTTCGGCTGTTACAGCTTGGCTTACGGTCGCGCCCGAACTTCGCTCCAAACTCGACCCGAAGGCGGTTCGCGTTTTTTTCACCGGCTACGACCTGGCTTCAAAAGCCTTTCGCTTCTACGACACTGAAGATTATACTTGGCAGAAATGCCACGTTCCTCGACACTGAATTCCCCGGATTACATGGCGACCCACTGAGCAAGACGGCGACACGCACTTCGCCAGCGCTCCCACCACCGAATCTCAAACCGTTGTCAAGACATGGACCCCACTAGTAAGGTCGGCGCACATGGACGTCTCATCCTTTGATGATTCTGCCATGAGCGCCGTTGACGTGGCCCCAGGGTACACTGGCGGAACCTTACTTAACTTCACAGATGCCGAATCGTCCTCGTCACCGTCGCCTGCGTCGCCCTCATCACCGTCGTCTGCGCCATCGCCTGCACTTTCACCATCGTCGGCTGCGTCATCGTCACCCTCGGCCTTACCGACCGACTCTGAAGACTCCGCCGATCCCCTCGACCTCCTCGGCTCACAGGTTCGATCCCACCACCCAGACTTCAGCACGTACCGCGAGCCCGCTCGGCTGAGGAGTCGCCCGACGAACTCGACCTCATTGGGCGCCACTCTCGCGACGAATCTCCGGACGAAATCGATTTTCTCACCCGACACCACCGCGCCTTCATCGCCATCGACGACGACACCTCTGACACAGAGGCAATTCAGCCAGTCAAGTCCATCACGAGGACCCACAGACCTGGCGCGAGGCGATGTCAAGCGTGAAGTATGGGCCAAAGCCGCCACCGACGAGTTCACCTCCATGCGCGACGACTTCAAGGTCTTCACCATCGAGGACCGAGCCACGGTGCCCGCGGGTGCGACTATCGTTACATCCAAGTTCGTCTGGAAAACGAAACGGAACGCACTCGGCGAAGTCACTGGAACAAGGCTGGTCGCGCAAGGCAATCGGCAACGCGACGGCATCGACTTCAACGAAACGTTCGCACCGGTCGCACGCTTCTCCTCGATACGCTCACTCCTCGCGCTGGCGGCCGCCAACGGCTTCTGTGCACCAGGCGGACATCGATCAAAGCATTTCATGGCGACCTTGACCACGACATCTGGATGACGGCACCGCGCGGCTTCGACCTTCCCAGCGACCGTGCTGCGACGCTCCATCTACGGGCTCAAACAGGCTGGCCGAATCTGGAATCGACACATCGACGCTTCGCTTCGGGCCCTCGGTTACACGGCGACGGGCACCGACCACTGCGTATACTCTTGCTCGTCAATGTCCACACTACATCGCACTGTACGTCGACGACCTCCTGATGATCAGCCCGGAACTGGCCGAAATCGAACGTGTCATCTCAGGCCTGGACCAACGCTACGGAGTCAAGCGCCTCGGCCCGGCCGAGTATATCCTCGGCATCCAGATCAGGCGGTTCGACGACGGCTCTATCGCCCTATCCCAGGAACGGTACATCATGGACGTGCTCGCTCGGTTCCACTTCGACACCACGACTCGCGGCACTACAGTTCCGATGACTCCCGGCCTTTCGCTCTGCTATCCCGGGTCAAGGCACCGAACGGATCAGGTCATGGTATCTGCAGGCTATCGGCTCGCTCCTCTACATTTCGCTCGGTACCCGCCCTGACATCGCCTTCGCCGTGTCCTACCTGGCCCGCTTCGCCACAACCCCGGTCGTCGTCATTGGATTGCGGTCAAGCACATCCTACGCTATCTCCGGGCCACGTATCGCAACGAACTATGTATGCTCGCGGCCAGGCTCGCATCACGGGTGTGGTAGGCTACTCCGACGCGAACTGGGGGGCCTGCATCGACACATCGGTGTCCACCATGGGCTACGTCTTCTACATCGCTGGCTCGGCCGTGTCCTGGTCGTCCAAACGCCAGTCTCGATGCCGATTCGACCACCGACGCTGAATACCTCGCCCTCTCGCATGCTGGCAAGGAAGGGATTTACCTCAGTCAGCTGCTCGAAGAGCTCCATGTACAACCTGTTGCACCGGCTCACATCTTTACTGACGAACTGCTGCAGTTGCTCACGATCCTGTCCGCGTCTCTGGCACTCGGCACATACGCTTGCGTGAGCACTTCGTTCGGGATATGAAGGAACTATACCACTGCAAAGGCGAGGCACCTCTCTTCAGTGAGCGCATATTGTCCTAGAAGTGAGATGGAGCGAAGTGTTGAAATATACCACTGCACCAAAAGGCGAGGCACCTCTACTTCAGTGAGCGCATATTGTCCTAGAAGTGAGATGGAGCGAAGTTCAACACCCCCCTGTGTGCGCGAAGCTGAAGAGCTTGTGGCAGTGGGTGCGGCTGTGAGGCAACTGGGCATGTTGATCAGGTCGCTTGGGCAAGTGCAGCTTGGGCACTGTGAGCACTGTCGATGCGCCAGGGTGCTTGGCACGCTGCTGGGCAAGTGCGGGGCCGGGACGCTGAGTGTATGCGCGCAAAATTGCCTGACCCCAGGGGGGATTGAACTCATGACCTGCTGGTTGCTCTGGGCTCATAACCTATGAAGGAACAATATACCACTGCACCAAAAGGCGAGGCACCTCTACTTCAGTGAGCGCATATTGTCCTAGAAGTGAGATGGAGCGAAGTTCAACACGGGACATGGTGAATCGGGGCGACATCTCTCTCTCGCATGTGGGTACCAGCGACATGGTGGCCGACATCTTCACCAAGGCTCTCGGCCCAAAGGTCTTCTCAACGCACTGCTACGCCCTCGGCCTTCGCACTCGACACCCGCGGCTTGGGTCTGCCTCGCATTCGCGTGGGGGGGGGTGTGAAGAGTCCACTCTCAGCTCGACAGGGGCGCCTCGGTCGTTGCGCGCACTTGCTAGCCCGCCCCGGCGGTGGGGACTTAGACGCGCGCGACTGCCTCAGCGCGCCAGCGCCGGCGGATTCATGCGCGCGCCCGCTAGCCCGCCCCCTTGCGGTGGGGACTTAGGCGCGCCGGCGATTTCACCCGCGGCTGACTTAGGGATGTACATTGTCACGCGCCTGGGACTATCCCAGCGTGGCCCCCCCTTTCTGTTTCTTAGCTTCCTTCTCATCACTTCTGTTCGACTCTCAACCTCTCCTGACAGTAGTGGTGAACGTCTCATAGGTACGCTGAAATAGATCACTTCTGTTCGACTCTCAACCTCTCCTGACAGTAGTGGTGAACGTCTCATAGTGCGAGATGGCCGAGGCAGCGGTGAAGGGTCAGCAGGGGCACGGAAGACTGTGAGCGAGAGAGGAGAGCGAGATGCTGACATTTGGAATGATCAGCGTCCAGCAAGTAGAGCCCTTCCTCGAGTCTTGCGCCTTCAGCGATAGCATTGCCGTTCTTGTCGATATGGATGCCGTGCTTCGTGAAGGCGACACGGACATCGTCGGTGTCGCAAAGTCGAGAGACCGAGAGGAGGTTGACAGACAGGCCCGGGGTGTGCAGCACGCCGGTAAGCGTGATCGGGTGACCGGAGGCGGCAACAAAGGCGATGTTTCCCGTTCCGACGGCGTTGATGCCCCCTGCAATACCACCAATCTTCGTAGGAGCGATGTGGCGATAGGCCGTGAACAGCGACTTGTCCGAGACCATGTGCGAAGTGGCACCCGAGTCGACGACGAAGGAGTTGTTGCGAAGCTGACGACGATGTGCGAGAAGACCGGTGGCGAGACATCCGACATGGTGTTGCGCATCAGAGGTGTCGGGCGTTTTCCCGTCCTCAAGAGCCTTTTTGCAGTCGAAAGACCAGTGGTCCTTCTTCTTGCAGGAGCGACACGGGCCTGGCGGTGGATGCTGGGCCCTTGTAGGGCATTGTGCGACGCGGTGAGAAGGGCTGCGACAGGCGAGGCACTTGGTACGGGTAGAACGTGGCGACGACGAGGCAAGGAGGGCCGATTGATCGTTGGAGAGGTTCGTTGACCGGAGTTGAACTCGCATACGGTCGGCCACTGAATCGATGTCAGGGAGAGTTCGTTGCGTGCGTTGTTCGTCGGTGAACGTTGCCTTGAAGCTCTCGAGTGACGGGTGGGCGATCGCGAGGAGGAGTGTGGCAAGGACGTCGTTGATCGTCGTTTTCGTATCGATGATCTCTTGCGCGACCGACTTGAAGTCCATGATCCAACTGTCAAATTCGCCAACCGTTCCGGGCATGGGTCGGAAGCCCCAGAGTCGCGAGAAGAGCTCGAGCGTGCGAGTGGCGTCATCAGGGGCGTATCGCGATTTCAGCGTCGAGTAAATCTTGGGCGCTGTGAGGTCGGCCGTAGGGATCTTGTCGAGGACTGCCGAGACTTCGGCCGAGTCGATTGAGTTTGCAAGGATCTCGCGTGCCACGACGTCGCGGGCGGAGCGTTGCGAAGGCGTCCAATCGTCGGGGGTGATTCCGTCGAGGACGTAGGAGCGGATGTCGTCCGCTAGGCACAGGCGAAGCTGGCGTGTCCAGTTCGCGAACGTCTTCGGCCCGTCCAACCGCGCATGCTTCGGGAAGGCATTGCGATTGGAGCCGGATGTCGTGGCGGGTGCGGTAGTGCCGGATGTGAGGAATCCACTCTCCGCTCGGCTCAGGACTTAGGCGCGCGGAGCGAACCGGGCGCGGACTTAGGCGCGCGGAGTGAGCCGGGCGCCCCGGCCCAGGACTTAGGCGCGCGAAGCGAGCCTGGGACTTAGGCGCGCGGAGCGAGCCTGGGCCATTGGCTCAGCCCCAGGCTCGCTGGCTGTGGACTTGGGGCGCGCGGGTCTCTTATTGTTAGCTTCCTATTCATCACTCTTGGCTATAACTACATCGCTGACGTAGTAGAGTTGATCGAATAGGTATGTTGAAATGCATTGATCACTCTTGGCTATAACTACATCGCTGACGTAGTAGAGTTGATCGAATAGGTTATAAGCCCACGAGCTACCAGCCCCGCCGCTTGAGGCTTTTTCGCTCGAGCCCAGCCACTCGAGCCGCACACGTCCATCGCACCATCACATCATGGACAGCTCTCCCGCCTCGCCTTTGGCCCCCAGGGATCCCAGCTCCCCTGAATCTTCGATCGGCGAACAAATCGCCACTCTACAGGCCCAGCTTGCCGCTCTGCAGGCCGCCGCCGCCGCCGCAGCCGTCACCCGTCCGGGAACGCCGCCACCGCATCCAAGGTCGTATTTCCCAAGCACGCTCGTCTGGACGGCCCCAAGTCGTTCACCAACTGGTTGCGTCAACTCCGTCTTGCACTCCCGAACCAGGTTCGTGGTTACGTTCTCGACGGTGTCGTTCCCCCGACCTGGACCTTGCCGCACGTGACGACGCCGACGGAAATCATCGTTGGCTCTATCGACTCCGCCGACGTATCGGCCACCCTCGACGCCATCCCCAGCGACGACCTGTCGGCACCGCGCATCTTTGCCGCTCTCAAGGCTCGTTTTGCACCGGACGACGCTACACGCACTCTCGAGTTGTTCGCTCGCCTTTGGGACTTCAGGAAGATGCCTGCCTCCGTCGAGGCCTACGACACTTGGCTACGCGAGTACATGTCGATTGCTCAGGAAATACGCGACGCCAAAACATCGCTCAACGACGTGCTCGCCACCCACGTGCTCGCCATGGTCCCGTCTTGCCTCGACAGCTTCCGACTCACGTTCACGGACGAGCAGCGAAACCGACGCTTACGGACCGCATTCGCATCCAGCTTCGTTCGGCAGGACTCTCGACCTCGCATTCGGCCATGCTTGCCACCAGCTCCCCCTGCCCCGCCTGCCGCGCTCCCGGTCACCGCCTGCGCGACTGCACTTCACGTGCGAAGCACCCGCCCACCGGCCCCTGCCGCCGATGCCACAAGAAAGGTCACTGGGCACTCGACTGCAAGAACCGGGGTGAACAGGCACGTAGCAGCGACGACACCCAGGACGACACGTCTTCCTCCGCGGCCTCGCAACCGAACGTCGGCTATTTCGCCTCCTGCCTCTTCGCTCGTCGCCAACTCCCAACTGACGCCTTTGTAGTCGATTCGGGTGCCACGACACACATGGTCGCCGACCGATCTCTATTCACGACTTATCGTCAGACGGCACACACCAAGATCGGCGGCATCGCGGGCGGCATCACGGCTATCGGCATGGGGGACGTGGCATTCGTCGCCAAGACTGGACACCCGATCACGCTCCGTGGTGTTCTTCACACGCCTGGCCTACACGTCAACCTCCTCTCTGTCTCTCGCCTCTGCGACACCGACCGCGTTCGTCTCGCCTTCACCAGCGACGGCATCGACATCGCCAAGGACGGCCGGGCCATTGCTCACGGTACCAGGGTCAACGACGGTCTTTACCTTTTGGACGCGGATCACACCAAGTGTCAGCATCTATGAAGGAACAATATACCACTGCACCAAAAGGCGAGGCACCTCTACTTCAGTGAGCGCATATTGTCCTAGAAGTGAGATGGAGCAAAGTTCAACACCCCCTGTGCGCGAAGCTGAAGAGCTTGTGGCAGTGGGTGCGGCTGTGAGGCAACTGGGCATGTTGATCAGGTCGCTTGGGCAAGTGCAGCTTGGGCACTGTGAGCACTGTCGATGCGCCAGGGTGCTTGGCACGCCGCTGGGCAAGTGCGGGGGCCGGGACGCTGAGTGTATGCGCGCAAAATTGCCTGACCCCAGGGGGGATTGAACTCATGACCTGCTGGTTGCTCTGGGCTCATAACCTATGAAGGAACAATATACCACTGCACCAAAAGGCGAGGCACCTCTACTTCAGTGAGCGCATATTGTCCTAGAAGTGAGATGGAGCAAAGTTCAACAGCATCTTGCCTTCCTCTCACGCTCTGAGTCTCCCGTGCCCCTGCTTACCCTACACCGCTGCCTCGGCCATCTTGCCCCATCCTCTATACAGAAGATGATTGCTGCAGGTTTGCTGGACGGGTTTGGGGCCGGGTACAGTGACAAAGACGTAGAGGAGTTTGTTTGCAATGCTTGCCTTGGTTCCAAAGGTCACCGCCTTCCCTTTCCCGACTCTGAGTCGCATTCCGCCGAGAGACTTGGCCTCGTGCACAGCGACGTCCTGTCGTTCCCCACTCCGTCCTTGACCGGGAAGCGCTACCTTGTCACGTTTCTAGACGACCACTCTCGCAAACTCTGGGCATATGCGATCGATCACAAAAGCGATGTTTTCCCGACCTTCCAGACTTGGCTCGCCGAAGTGGAGTTAGAGACGAACGCGCGGTTGAGGATCCTTCGAACCGACAATGGCGGGGAGTACCGATCAAACGCATTCACGGAGTTCTGCAAATCCAAGGGCATTCGTCGTCAATACTCTATCCCTTACACGCCTCAACAAAACGGTCGCGCCGAACGTGTCAACCTCTCCATCGTCGAGGGCGTCCTCGCTCTCCTTGCGGACGCCCGTCTGCCGGCCACCTTTTGGGATGAAGCGGCTGCGTATTTCGTTTATTGCAAAAACAGGTGCTCACACTCAGCTTTGGCCAAACAGACTCCAGAATCCGTTTGGAACGGCCAACGCACCACCGCCACCGCCCTCCACCCGTTCGGCTGCACAGCCTGGCTCACGGTCGCCCCGGACCTTCGCAGCAAGCTCGACCCCAAGGCCGCGCGCGTGATCTTCACAGGTTACGACCTCGCCTCCAAAGCTTTCCGTTTCTTTGACCATTCCATCAACAAGATTGTACTTGGTCGCAATGCCACCTTCCTCGACGACGACTTCCCCGGCCTGCCAGTCACCACGCCCGTCGATGCAGACGACACCGACCGTCAGTTCGTCGTTCCCGCCGACACGCCCGCCCCTGCCGTCAAGACGAGGACCCCACTAGTAAGGTCGGCGCACATGGACGTCTCATCCTCCTTGATGATTCTGCCATGAGCGCCGTTGACGTGGCCCCAGGGTACACTGGCGGAACCTTACTTAATTCCACAGATACCGAATCGTCCTCGTCACCGTCTCCTGAGCCGTCCTCGTCACCGTCGCCCACAAACCCT